TTGGAAAAAAATTTTTGATCAAAAAAATTTTGATCAAAAAAATTTTGGTCCAAAAAATTTTGGAAAAAAATTTTTGGTCAAAAAAATTTTGGCAAAAAAATTTTTGGTCAAAAAAATTTTGGTCCAAAAATTTTGGGAAAAAAATTTTTGTCAAAAAAATTTACAGATATATATACTTCAAAGATCTTATATCATGAAAGTTGCATCTTTAGGAGATTATTTGCGGAAAGTTGTCTTATTCTTATGAATGTTTCTAATAGTGTCAACATTAGATCAGATCACAACCTATTACATGATTCATATTTAAATGTTTTACACTTTTTGACAAACAATTAATATCAACTTCCATTTAAGATCAATAATTTAAGTATTCACATCCTAACATATAAAAACACACACATGCAATCTCACAGTTCTCAAGGGTTCAACCGTAACTTTCAAATGCAATTTTAAGGCATTTAATGAATGAACTTAATAATTTTAACGAATGCATTGTGTAGACTAAAGTACAATCTTTATACCAAACCAAAAAAATTACAAATTTATCATCATCTTCATAGTTAAAATCAGCTTCAAAGTTGGCCATTTTTCAAACTTCAAGTTGGTCGTAGGGGTCAGAGAATTTTTTTTTCCAAAAACTGATTTCATATTCGGAATCAGCGCCTCAAAAACTATCAGAATCGGTCAAAACATTTTAAAAATCGCGAAAAAAAATTTTTATTTCATTAGTAAATTTTTTATTTTGCAATCAAAGATTTCCATTTTTCGCAGGAGTATGTAGATTTATCCAAAAATATATAACATTTTCAAATTCATCGACCCCAAATCTATCACAACCAATCAAAAAATTTTGAAAATCGCGAAAAAAAAACGATTTTTGAAAATAAAAACGACTTCGCAACCAAATATTTCGATTTGTTGCGGGGATATGTGGATTTATCCAAAAACGGATAGCATTTTTGAAATCAGCGTCCCTAAATCTTTTGGAAACATTCAAAACATTTCTAAAATTACGAAAACAAATTCATTTTTTTTTGACAAAATTCCGATGTAGCAACCAAAGATATCGTTGTTTTGCAATGTGTGCCATTGAAGCCCTGAATCTCATCAAACAGGATAATTTCGTCCATTTCATCAAAAAGACTTTGTTCAATTAGTTGTCGATTATATTTTCCTTCTACTATAGGGGAGACCCAGGTTGTAAAGTTCTTTTTAAGGCATTCTTATAAGTCATAAGCACCTGTAATAAGAATAAAATTTATTCTGAGGATATACATCATAAATTGTATTATATGTTACTTAATACTAGACTAACATTAAATATGTGTAAGTACAGCCGAATAATAAATCATTTATATTAATCTAATAATTTGATATAATTTATCTATATTAAGTCCATAAATAGTAGTTTAAACAAAAGCGTGAATAGCAGTCTATGGTTTTAATATGGTTTATAATTTATAAATCTAAATTTTATATATTTTTTACTAATATGCCTGGAAAAACATTTTAAAGTTATTTGACAAAATATAAAAAAAACATCCAAAATCAATTATAGCCAATTATTAAACTCAATTTTAGTAAATTTTATCTTGTTTTTACTAATGTAAATAAATTTAAGTGCACGGAACAAAACTTCCACATATTTAAAATTCTCTAGTTTATACTAAAATAAACAAATAAAAGTGTCCCGAATAAAATTTTCAAAGTATTTGACAAAATGTGAAAAAATTCCTACAACCAAATATTGAAAATTAGAAAAATATTAAGGTCAGCGTTTCGACTAGAACAAAATTTCCAAGTTATTTGATAAGACCTCACATATTGATACTTATTCGCATTTCAACTACAAATTATTCAAAATGTTGATATCCAAGTGTATAAAACAATTTATACTAAATTCTAGTAAATTTTATCTAGTTTATACTAAAATAAACAAATGAGAGTGTCCGGTACAAAGTTATTTGCAAACTGCAAAAAAATATAAATGTAAATGTCACATATTGCTAATTACTAAAATTTAATCAATATATGCAAAAGTATTCCAAATTTGGTAAAATGTATTTAATAAAAACATGAATGAAACATTAAAACTACGAACAGTGGTCCATGGTCCACAGCTGTTAGCTTGCTAAAATCATTGTTCTTCTTTTGACTGACATTTTAATGTATATCGAGTTACTGTAGAAGTATCAAATGTTAACAAAATATAGATAATTTAATTTTGTGCAAACTTTCTAAATATTTCATTAACATTGGACAAACAAATGATTTTTATTTTATCAATTAAATTATATAATTGATTTAATTAGAAATGGCATTTAAGATTCAAAAGTAAAAAACATTACTTACAAAGAGCATTTATATTTTTTGACACATTTATGATGGAAATATTGAATCATTAATAACAACTGTACTTATATTAACTATTATTAGCATAAAAATTTATACACTAATATTTGTTTTCAAAGAAAACAATCAAAAACTTTTTGTGTGAACAATAAAAAAAGTATTTTCCGATTTTGAAATATTTCTGATTTTGAATAGTTTTAAAAAAGTAAGAAATAATTAACCAATTCTGAGCTATTCCACTTAACTATTAAACATTTATTTAATTCATTAAGATTTTTAAAACACATTTGAAAATAAACCTGTCACAACAGACAATTTTAACCTGAAAACAACTGTCAACAAAATTTTGACGTTTGACATTTCTACAATATAATTCAATTTTGACGTTTAAAGTAACAAATTCATGTATTAAAAATTGTTTTGGACTTAAATCAATATAATTAATTATAATATATAATATCACAATGTGTTGAAAATGTATTTAACAAATATTTGTTTAGAATTATGCCCAACAGTTTTGTCAAAATATTTATGAATTCATAAACATTAACCACTTTGCCTTAAAATTAAAATAGAAAACATTATTTAGTACTTACCTGATCACAAAACAGTACACTTTAACTTTAAATCTATTTACATTTGCATTTTGCATTTACATTTACAACATGGATAATTATTATTATGATAGAGTAACTTGTTCAACCAAGTCCCAGACAGCACAGACACAGACTGTTGATTTATTTCAATATATTTACAACAGAAATTAAACATAGAGCATAGAACATATATTTATATAGACTGCTAACATAGTTTTTAGTATCAACATACAGCAGTTAAGTGAGTTTAGTTTTCTTTCCATTTCTATTATCTGGATTGTTTTTATCAATTACATACTAAATTAATAAATAGAACAACATGTGCTAATTTTAATACGCACATAAATTTATTTTATCAAAATAACACAAATGAAATAAAAATATTAATTACTAGTTAAATAAAATGTACAAAATGTTTCTAACAACTCTCTCTTACATGCAAAAATGTATATGATAGAAAAGTTATTTAAATTCGCAATAATAACAACAAATTCATATTATCAACAATAGTTCATATTATTAATAATATAATGTTAAAACTAAGAAGTTATTTGGACTAATTATATTCAGTTATTTCATTTATACATATAATCCCCTATCCTTGACCACGCCATTGAGATCCTTATAAATGATCTCGACCATATTATTGAGGGCAGCACAAAATCTCCAAAGAAATCTGACTCAAAACACAAAAATTTGTCAGAAAATTCCCAAAGAAAAAAATGTGAAATTTAAAAAAGTCGATTATCTGCTCTCCTGAGTGAAAAATGGACAAAATTTCACCCCCTGTAAAAACTCGGTTGAAATTGGCAAGGACCAATAGAATCAAATGAGCTCCACATTTTTCCAAATCGACTCGGAATCTAATGGGCGATCGTCGGATGCACTCGCAGAATGGCCTTCCAGTGACCGAATTGGTTAGAGCGTTAAACTAGACTAATATAAATCCATATAAAAATATGGATTTTAAGAACAAAAGTATGGATCTTAAGTATAAAATTAAAAATAATGACAAAGTAAGTAAGTAATTACTTACTAACAGTATCTAACAAAAATAAGTTAAATTTTATAGCTATATTATAATATTATACAGTCACATTTATTTTTTTAACTATCTCTAAAAATCAAACTATGACTTTTTAACAAGATTGAAGTGAGTGAATTTCTTGAAAAAAAAAACTTGGAAAAATAAATTGAAAAAAATGTTCTAACTAGTCAAAATATATGATGAGAAATGATTTTTTTTTTTCAAAATGTTGGGTTGCTATTCGTAGTCGCAGTTCCAGGATTTAAAAGAAACTGTCCTAAAGTCTGCATTGGAGGTGCACTATAATAGAAAATTAAAGCCATAAACCTGTAAGTAAGAAATATATTAAATATCAATTTGTAAGTCTGGCATAAAAAGTAATAATTTCAAACTTAATTATAAGTGCACTTACAACTTTCCATTATAATATGATTTCCATTAAAAACACATTAAATCTATCTATTGAGAGAATTATGATGACAACAAATAATTTAGAAGCTATAATTTGATCCATTGTGAATGCATATACATTTAATTGGGATATTGAAATTTAGAAAAAAAAAGTTACATGTGAATTGTATTTGATAATTAAAACCAAACAACTTTCAGAAATAAACTCTCATAAATCTTGTATTTAATATTAAAATATATACAACAATTTTTGATAATTCTAAATTTAAAAATGCGATCTCTTAAATATGTGCTATACAATCTTGTAGCATAAACATATAATGACTAAATATGAAAATCATGAAGTGCAGAACACATGTTATTGCTTTGTGTCTTGACACATAATTTAGAATTTACTATACAAATTAAAATTATACAAATAGTTAATTTATAATGACATTGCACAATATGGTGTATCACACTAACGCGATACAGTTATTGTTGATTTACTAAAATTATGATTGTGTATATATATACATGTACACATACAAATATATGTATACACAACTTTAATTCACCAATTTTATTACAAAATGCATCAATTAATAAAAGCAAAGATTTAAACATCACATGCAAAAATGTTTGTTTATGATTTGTATGAATGATAGACATTACAACTAACAGGTACATTGTTCATAACACTATACTGGCACTTGACATGGTCAACTTTAAAAACTACTTTATACAAAAATATATCACACAATAAAATGATAGATCAAATTACTTGATCGGATCACTGGTATTCTATTGACATGTGTCCCTTTACAGCAGCATGAATACTTATAACAAATTAAAAAGTTATTGTATATCGTAAGATTTTGTACTTGGGCCTATAAGTATTATGCTGTCGTAATAATCACAATTCATAAATACTATAAATTCAAACGAGATCTCGATCTAGTAAACCGATTCTTTGAATCTCCATTCCAACTTTTAGATTTAGCTCTGAACAATTTTAAATCTGCATCAAATTCTGGATCCAGCATAGGTCGATAAGCTATTGGTTCACATAAATCAGAATAAGATGCAAAAAATTCTTTATACCCCCCATGAAGAAGATAGATTTCTGGATAATGGAGAGCTGGGTAAACTTCACGATTGCTATCACGGTCAAAATTTCTTAAAAATCGTGATCTGTAATGATGAAATAGTTATAGAAAACAAAAACCATAGAACAAATATAATATGAAAGGCATGATACTCACAATTTAGGTCCTCTTTCAGAAGAGAATTCACAGTGGAACACTAGAATATGTCTGCTAGGCCCATCATATTGTACTTTCGGTGCACCGGATTTTGTCTCTACTAGCTCCTTAACTATTTGATCTTTGGTATATAGATTTTTAGCTCCTGCAATATGGCCTCCATCAAATTCATAAGGATAACGGCAGTCAATAACTTTATATGAAGCCACTGTATCCTTAAATTCTCCACGAATCAGAGCAGCAAGAGTATCTGTTGAAATAGATTTCAAATCTTGATGCCGCCCTTCCATCAGTGGTAAACAGAATGGTTTGCTAAAGTCCCCAATTAAATCTGGTTCCACAGATGCTGAAATAGAAATTAGTTTTTTAAAATTTGTTTTAAAAATATGTAGCAATTTATGACTAAATATTTTTCACTTACATCGTGCTAGCGCTTGTTTGATGATATGTTCATGATCTGACAAAGATCTTTGTAAAAATCTCTGCTTATTTTGCGGTTCTGGACTTTCCTCTATATTTCCTAAGCTGGTTGATTTCCTTCTCTTGGACATGGTGGGACTTGATAAGTCACAAGGAGGTTCTGGTCTTTTAAAACAACGTGAAGCATCGGATGTTGGTGTTGTCGGATTCGGAGATCTCAATTTCATAGAAGAAAATAATTCTGGTGTTGAAACTTCAGTGTTGAGGCTTAGTGAACGACAAAATGAAGGTTTCAATGTTCTGTCTGGTGTTTTGACAGCTTTAATATCACCAGATATCAATAAGTTTAAGTCACATGGTAACTGTGCATTTTCATCCATACTGTCCATGTCAAATAACTCTATGAATCCATCATCCATTGATTCCATACTTCCTGAGCTCAAACTATGAAAAATTTTCAGGCTACAAGAAGATTTTGATGTGGGTGACTGTGTTTTATTAGGACTCGGTTCAATGAGTCTTCTTGGGACAACAGTACTAGGCGCAGCAAATTGAAAACTCTTGTGCGTTTGTTCACTGAAACTAGCACCGTATCCTGCATCAGAATCAGCTGAATTTGGATCATGGTCTTCAAAAGGCTGACGCAAAGGCTTGTGCAAAATTCGTTTCCTTGCCTATTAGAAACATAATTTCCCATTATTAATATTATCAAAAATTGTTACAGCATAGACCCATATTTAATGGATTTTTTTATAAAAAAATGAGGAATAATACATAGAAATTCAATTGAGATTGGAGTTTTATTTCTCATGATAATTAGTAATCAATTCTTATTTGATATATAATTATTTTATACTGTGATTAATAAATTTAGTTGAAACTTACATTAGACAAATCTCCCCTACGCTTTTGGACACATGGACTAAGCTGGCAAGGTCGAAGAGGACTGCTTTGTGGACTACCACCACTATAAAGGGAAAGATCATTAACCGATTCGATATAATTTTCCTTGTCATCAGAAGAAAGGCAACCGGATCCATCATAATCAATAACCATTGGATTGCTATTATAACGTCTTTGTGATGAGTGATTCCTGCTCTCAGACAACCGCGTTTCACTACGACCACCAGAAGAGAGTGTGAAACTATTATTTATTAGCCTGGAAAAAAAAATTATTACTGATATTTTCAATCCACTATATGCTTCGATGTACAAAATAGAACGTGCCTAAGATTATGTAAAATCCTGCTTTGGGAATGCACACTTAGTACAATCAAAAATACAGTATAGTTTATAACAAAGTGTAAAATAAATAAAATTCGATAAAACTGCACATTATAACACTATTAAAAAACCCTACACAAACAAGCCCGTTTAAAATCAAGTAAAAAATCTTTCAATTCGAAAATAAAATAAAATGGGAATATTTCAATGTCAGATATGAAAAAAAATGACTGCATACACTGAAATAATGCAATTTGACAACCTATAAAATACGCGGGAGCAAACAACGACGCGATGGCGCCTTTTTGTCATGTAGAAGGTACAATCATTAATCCTAGCTATAAATTTGATATGAACGTCACGTATTTTGGTAGGGTATTTTTCATTTATTATTTCAATTTAAAAAACACGCAATGAAATAAATGATTAGATTGAAAAATCGTTCACGCCAAAAGTTTTGAGGTCAGAATTATTAACGAAAGTAAATCCAAAGATTCAACGTATAATATATTTTCATTTTTCAGAATATGCAGATTTGAAAAAATGGGCCGGACAAAGATGTTTCATACAGAAATATATTTATATCCGCAGACGAAGCATCTGCATGAAACGCCGAGTGAACAGCTGTGCCGGCCGAAACCCGGCAAGCGCATTCATTTCATGGCAGTATTGAAATATTGTGGAAAACATAGTTAAGAAACTTATCAATTATAATAGTAGAATAGGTCTCGGGGATGTTGTAGGATATTTTATTTGTATTACGAATACGTCATTATGCAATGTTTATATATTAATTACCTAGAACACTGACAAACTTCACAAGCATCTTTGCTGGTATTGGAATCCCAAAAGATATTCATTTTAGCAAATAAAATCACTTAAATTTTTCACAAACACACATAAAACCACTCTAATAAATTTTTCTATAACAAACCACACATAATAATTAACGATAAACTAGGCGAACCAACCCGACTGATAGCACAAGACACAAGTGAGTTGAAAAATCCTTCGCCTCTGGTTTTATAGGGTATCCCCTCTCAAGAGTTGCTCCCTCTATTCCAGCGAAGGACCGTGATGCTCGGGCGTCGGCGCTTCCATGTAGTAGTGCGACAGCTTATGTCAAATTCCGCCCTAACAATAAGTGCATGCACGGGTTTGGCTCAGCGCTCAACGCTCAACCTTCTTCAAATACTTCGATTTTAAGATTTAAGTTAGTAGTTAGTTACGTCCTGAGTTTCGGACGGATTGGATCTGTATGTATGGATCAATTCATGACTAGAGGTGCATGGCATAGTCACTTAAGGAAAATTGCTGGAACTTCCCGTGCCGAAAATTCGAATTTTTAACACTATTCCTACCGGGACCGGTCAAATGACCGTTTTCAATTTTTCGATTAGAGGTGCATGGCATCGTAACTTAAGGCAAATTGCTGGAACTTCCCGTGCCGAAAATTCGAATTTTTAACACTATTCCTACCGGGACCGGTCAAATAACCGTTTTTGATTTTTCGATTAGAGGTGCATGGCATCGTAACTTAAGGCAAATTGCTGGAACTTCCCGTGCCGAAAATTCGAATTTTTAACACTATTCCTACCGGGACCGGTCAAATAACCGTTTTCAATTTTTCGATTAGAGGTGCATGGCATCGTAACTTAAGGCAAATTGCTGGAACTTCCAGTGCCGAAAATTCGAATTTTTAACACTATTCCTACCGGGACCGGTCAAATGACCGTTTTCAATTTTTCGATTAGAGGTGCATGGCATCGTAACTTAAGGCAAACTGCTGGAACTTCCCGTGCCGAAAATTCGAATTTTTAACACTATTCCTACCGGGACCGGTCAAATGACCGTTTTCAATTTTTCGATTAGAGGTGCATGGCATCGTAACTTAAAGCAAATTGCTGGAACTTCCCGTGCCGAAAATTCGAATTTTTAACACTATTCCTACCGGAACCGGTCAAATGACCGTTTTCAATTTTTCGATTAGAGGTGCATGGCATCGTAACTTAAGGCAAATTGCTGGAACTTCCAGTGCCGAAAATTCGAATTTTTAACACTATTCCTACCGGGACCGGTCAAATGACCGTTTTCAATTTTTCGATTAGAGGTGCATGGCATCGTAACTTAAGGCAAACTGCTGGAACTTCCCGTGCCGAAAATTCGAATTTTTAACACTATTCCTACCGGGACCGGTCAAATGACCGTTTTCAATTTTTCGATTAGAGGTGCATGGCATCGTAACTTAAAGCAAATTGCTGGAACTTCCCGTGCCGAAAATTCGAATTTTTAACACTATTCCTACCGGAACCGGTCAAATGACCGTTTTCAATTTTTCGATTAGAGGTGCATGGCATCGTGACTTAAAGCAAATTGCTGGTACTTCTCGTACCGTAATTAAAAATCTTGGTACGGAACCCACAAAAATTCACACATGTGTACACATTATTAAAATCTCTATAAAATATCTAATAATTTGATGTACATATGTCCAATAAACATTTTTGACCGCCAAATGACATATTTTTAACTTATTTTTATTGAAAGTCCATAACCGCTGGACCTGCCTTCCCAATTAGTTCTTCATCTTGTCAATACATGTAAAATGTTTTTTGAATCATTCAAATCGGATGCTCTGTTATCTCAAAAACAGAATTACCATTTTTAGCACTTTTTGCCCAGTATCTTCGGAACGACTGGACCTGTCTTCGTCAAGAACTAGTCAGCATGTCTCCTTATTAATAGCATTCTAATGTATTTTGAATCATTGAAATCGGTTGATCCGTATTCTCAAAATCGTCGACAAAAAATTGTATCCACACTTACATGCACTCACACACATTAATTTTTTAATCAATAATTATTTATGGTATCTCATAATTTTAATTGTTTAATATTATTTATATTAAATCAATATACATCGGTAATATATTGAGACGAAAGAATGCAATTGATGTCAGGTTGGTGATATTAAGACCCTAAATTAAAGACAATTTTGATGAGACGATTATCGAGTGGGAAAAGTCTAATGAATTTGAAAAATAAGTTTTTGAAAAAATATTTTATAAAACGAGTTTGAACCATTAGTATAATAAATTAATATAATCATCAGCATTCAAATAATGTTCAGATGTTAATATAATATAATTAATATAATTAATTTTGTACAAAAATAGGCTTCTTGGTTGGTCCTTAATAGAAAACTGGTGTTATAAATATAGAAATAAGGGGAAAAATATGAATGGGTCTTACTGAGGATATTCTTAGATGGCGCAAGAAGTTGCATTGAGACGAATACTCTCAATACCAATTCCTATTGGAAAGAACAATCTTATCAGAATTAGGTAAAATATATAAATATATCAGAATTAGGTAAAAATATTAGCATTCTACTAATAGCAGCCGGTAGATAATTGATTCCAATAGCGTAATAAATTAATAACATAAGAAAAGTTCGTATTTTTTAGATACGGCTTTTTTATATACTATACTATCATCAATTTTCTTATTTTTTTTAAAAAAATCACGAAGGAGAAGTTTGTTTTTGCCAGAAAATTCGACTTACTAATTTTATGATTTCTCAACGTTTCAAGTCATTCTGAATCGTTTGACACCAAATTGGAAAAATAATGAGTATGTACGGGAGACAAAATTTAATCTAACGTCGACGTTTTCTAGAAACGACTGCACCGAAAAAATATAGAAGATATTTGATTCGATTTTAGCGACTATCGGCCGAGCAATTTCTTCACAATCAGCAGTTAAGTGCAAAAATTTTCGTTCACATTTTAGCCAAATATCATGAACCGATTTTAAAAATTCAAAATCTGTTAAAAAGATATTACTTGAGAATCGTTCTGATTAGTTTTAGTTGAAGATCTATCTGACCATTGTAATTGTTGAACATTTCGATGAAACTTAGCAAGACTATAAAGTTCATGGTCTAAAATGAACATTCTAAAATATATTTGTATGAAAACAGGTTGAATTATAGATATTAAGAATAGATAAGCGCGATATTCAAAATCTGTTAAAAAGATATTAGTTGAGAATCGTTCTGATTAGTTTTAGGTGAAGATCTATCTGACCATTGTAATTGTTGAACATTTCGATGAAACTTAGCAAGACTAGTTCATGGTCTAAAATGAACATTCTAAAATATATTCGTATGAAAACAGGTTGAATTATAGATATTAAGTATCCTGTTTGTACAATTACAGATTTGTTTGAAAGTTTTTAGTGAAAGCAAAAATGTTATTTTCGAATTGAACAGTTGATTTTTAAAACCACTATATTTTTTAATTGTCATTTATTTAAACGTATCGAGAAGTCCATGCAACTTGTCTCAAGCCAAAATGCCACTTACACCTAGCTTCTTGTGTATTTCACACCGATTCGGTGTATTGCAAACATTATATAATTTGGAAAATATATCGACAGGTCATAACAGTTAGTACAGACTTCTTTTATCTATGGTGCAGGCATTTTATTTCTTCAATTAACCAAGTAACTTTCTCATAGGCTTATGTACAGGACTGTAGCAAATCTTGCTGGGGCATGTGTCTGCTTTATTTGACGTCGTCGATTTTGGCAATTTCAGATCCGCGCCCTAGATACTAGAAAAACGCGCATTTAATAAAAGGGGCAGTACTGTCAGGTATAATATACTATGCATCAAACTTTAAACAAACCGTGGGACTGTCCGCGATAGTCCTTCGTTCGAGGCAGAATACTGGTCCATGACAATGGCTCTCCGAAGAAAAAATTGCAGATGCCAGGTAATGAATTAGCAAACGATGAGCTCAGGGTCCCGTTTCTGATATTGCCTCGAATAGTGCCGACGGATAAACACATATACATATAATTCAAATTTTAATCAGAATGATGAGGTGGTTGTATGTGAGATCTATCTGTACTTTAGTCTAGATAAGCATGTTTGTACGTGAACTCGTTGACACTTGTCTGACGAAATAAATTATTGGTATATGACATACGTTGGTAGAATATTTGAACGCTTTGCCAGTCGCTACTGTTTCGCCAACAGCTTAAAAGCTTATAATAATAATCCATTGCATAAGATTTTGCGCTGAAGTAATATTGTACGAACATTAATTATCATTTACTCCCGAAAGAGAGATTTATGTCTCAGTTTCCTAATTTTATGTTTTTTTTTTACGTTTCAAGCCATTCTTAATTGAACGAGGCCAAATTTGGAAAAAAATCATGTGTGTGAGCCGAACGGCTGAATCGATTTCAAAAGTTTAAGACATTCGACATAACTCTGGCAGGATTAACGTTGGTCAGTTTTGTCGGCCAAGCGTTTTATTGTAATTAGGATAAAAGTATAATTTTTTTGTCTACATTTTAGTAAACAATCTTGAAAAGATTTTAAAAATTCAAAGACTGTTCGAAAGATATTAGTTGATTAGTTTTAGGCAAATATTGGCTGAGCCGTTTTTTCGTAATTAATCTAGTGAGATATAGCGTGTATTTTTTACCTGAATTAAGAAAAAAGCAAAATCTAAAAAAAAATACAAAAATTTTACGAATTTTCTAAGTAATAAAAATACACGTGATGTTTAGATGGGGGAGGAGGGGTAATTTAAAATATAACTGCGTATCACCAAAGCAAAGTCAAAAAAAATTCACGTGAATAATGGCGCCTCCTTATGTGCAAAAAATATAAAAAGAATTTACAAATGTAGTTTTATGTAGTTTTCCATCAATATATTTGTTTATCAATGTTTCAATCTCCTCTATAAATAAATGCTCTATAAACTCTTGAAAGATTTTATTAACTTCCCGTAGGGCAAGTTATAGTAATCACAAAAAAATCGAAAATAAAATTTTTTATATATCTTTACGTTACAAAAAGGTTTCTGAATATTTTGGCATACCTTGGAAAAAATGGATGTATGTGTGTGTGTGTATGTGTGTGCGTGGGTGTGTGTGCGGATACAAATTTTCGTCGACGATTTCGGGAACACCGACCAACCGATTTAA